AACGTTCTTTACGTGAGAGAGGAAACGGTAGTAATTACTGTGACTGTGAACAGGACTGACAGTAATAATAGACTTGTTTCTTCAACTGTCACATGTTTGAATCAAAGTCAGTCAGATGTTAAATATCTGTTACATCCAGGAGAAAAAATAATCTCATTTAATGGGCAATATTTTACGTTTGATAAAACATTTTCTTAGTTGGCCCCTAACCTTACATCAATAATAAACATGTGTTTGTGCTTCATTGTTCAGAGATAATTATCTGACTTTGATGAGTCACAGTCACCGTCTCTTTAATCGTTCTTTATTCATTTGTCCATTTCAGTCATTGAACGTGTTCAACAGTTTTGTTTTGAATAAATGAAACATACGGTAGAATTTTCTAGAACATGAAAAGTACACACCGTTACTCTGTGACTTTGTACTTTCCTGCTCTTATCTCCGTCGTCCTCTGCACGCCGCAGATCTGCTGATGACAACGCTGACACCACCGCAGCAACCTTTAATATTAGTTTATAGTTTGTCCTGTGCACTTCATCATCATCATCATCATCATCATCATCTTCATCTCTCTCCCTCTCTCTCTCTCTCTCTCCCTCAGGGCAACGTGACCTTTTCCTGTGTTGAACCAGTTTCCGTGGCCGTGACCTTCCCCGGCCCCCAGAGTTTCCTCCAGTTACCTGCGGAGGCAGCGTCCCTCTCAGGAGGTCTTTCCGTGACATTCCAGTTCAGGACATGGAACGAGGCCGGGCTCCTGCTGACCTTTGACCTCCTGAGTGAAGGTGGCGTCGTGTGGCTGTACCTGAGTGAGGCCCGGCTGCGGCTCCAGATACACAAGACCGGGAGAGCCGTGCTGGAGCTGAGTGCAGGTCAGTGAGAGGCCGAGGTCACCAGAACGTCAGGTCAGTAAGGAACAACGTGGTCATCATGATAACTGAAGTTTAGCGTAGCATGCTAAACGTCGTGGCTGTGTTGGAGGCGGTTCAGGTGTGGTCAAAGAGGATTGGTCAGTTTTTCTTTCTTACGCTGCTGCTGGACACACGGTCTGAATTCTGCCTGAAGTTGCTGCTGTGTTTGTTGGCAGACGACGACGCCCTGATGTTGACAGTCAGGGGAAATTAAAACAAATCTATTCATCCCAAACGATGTTTTAAAATATGCCAACATTCTGTGATCCTGTTGGAAAAACCCCAATAATGATGCTGCAAATGGAAATGTGATTTTCTGAAGCTGACAACCGGACTGGATAATCTCCCCCTGATGGTCAACCAGGCACCGATCCAACGTCCCGTTGTCGTCCACCATTATCTGTATTTTCACGAGTCACTTTACCCCAAGCTGGTCGTCAGCGGGGGCCGAGGGTTGAGCAAACAGTTTCACCGTTAGTCAATTAGTGCCTCACCCGCTCCTTCTGCCTCCCCCGTCAGCCTTAGCTCCTCCGTGAATCTGCATAATTCACACAGAGTGTTGTCTGTGTCTCGGTGACGACGGGGGCAGAGTCTGGGGCAAAACATGGCCTCAGTCAGAGAAAAAGGGAAGAAAGGATGGGGGATAATGAGATATTGATCCATTCTGTCAATCCGACGACGTTCAGACTCACCGCAGCTGCTGCTGTTCACACGGCGCAGCTCATTGGTGCAGGAAATGAAGAGAACGCTGGTCTGGAATCAGTCTCACCGTTAAAAGAAGTTTTCACCGATAAAACAGTGCTGGAGCTGCGGCTCAGGGTGGTGGTGAACACAACGGACTGACTTCAAGGTCTTTTTTAAATGTTTATACTGTTTAGAGCAGTGAGTCCAAAAGTGTGGGGCGCAGGCCTAAATCCAAGTGTGAAACGCTGCGTGCACGGCTCATGAAAAGTTCATGATTTGTGTTAACGACATTTTCCGGTTCGAAGGTTCTTCCCTGAATGATGGACAGTGGCATTCCGTGGAGATCATCTCCAGAGGGGGGCGCCTGACCATCGCTGCAGACAGAGGAGAAGGAGGCAGTGCACATGCCAGCCTCACGTTCCCAGTTTCAGCTGGAAGTCCTCTCTTCTTTGGAGGTGAGACTGAAACACGGCGGTGTTGGTTTACAGAGTCAGAGATGTTATGTCGTCAGAAGGCCTGCTGCGATCGTTGTTCTTTTTTTTTTTTTTTCCCATGGGGCCTCCGGTTGTCCTGCGGAAGACGACGGC